CGCTCTACCAAAAGTACCACGATAGACCTTACATCTCTCAAAATACATCTGTGGCAAGGTTCTTCGTCTAATCTCCTTCAGGCCTGGAATCAATGACACAATTCGAGAATCAGAGGATGTTGTCACATCAAACTCTGATCTCTGAGGTAGTGCATCTACCTGCCTCAAGGTTCTGATCAGTTCAGTAGTAGTGAACCTTTGTGGTAGTATGTGCCGAAGTGGAACCGGAATTTCCGTCGTCTCTTCCGTTCTTACGGAATTCAGCAAAATTGACTGATGAGCTTCTCTCTCTAACAAAAGAGCTGTTCCACACAAACTTCCAGAGTCAAAGTTCTCCAGAAGATCTTCAATAAGGAAACTCTGACGCTTGTCGGAAGTCTCACTATAAGGAAGAAAACGATTCATCTCAACCAAAAATGAGAACGGAAACTTCTTCCAGTCAGGATCCTTGAAGTACTGGTTGCTTCTAGTGGCTTGCACTGTTTTAGCTTGAAATGAACAGTCACCAATACCTTTCCATCCTTGGCAGGATGCATAGGAATGGAAGACTGTCACGTAACTCATTCCCTTCGGACAATAACAAAAACAATTCATATTCACATCAAAGTTAAAAATCGGATCCTTCAACGAAGAAATGAACTTCTGCAAAAACAAACAAAACTTGTTTCCTTTGGGAACAGTCACAAACACATGTTTCTTCCTTCTCAACTGCCACTCAATCACATTACAACATAGCAACCAAATAGAAGCTCTGTTCTGTTTGGGAGAAGGGTTGTTGATCACTATACAGTGGGGCTGCAATCTCTCCAGTTGCTGCCAAATACCATCTTGACCCTTCATAGTGGAAAAGTTGTATCCTCCTGCCAAGGAATTTATTGAGCAAAAGAATTGGACAGTTTGTTTCAATGATTGGGAGAATCTTGCAGTGATGGCTAGATTGGCACCAGGTGGATATGTCAAGATCATTGCTGGACATGATCAAGAACTTGGTCACTGTGAACAGCGTGATGTAACTTGGGCTATCTACGAGATTTGTTTTGGAGAAACAAGGCCTCGTCAAGATTTCAAGGATGCAGACTTTGAATTTGATGACTATGGTCCTGAGGACAAGCGTGTTCCACTTACTCGAGCGAACATGCATACCATCAGAGTCTGTAATTATCATGTTGATACACACCGTGCTGTGGATGCCCACCTACTGACAGGAGAACAGACAGCATTGATGCTTTATGAGTGTTTTGTCTATGAGGTGGACATCATTTCTGGTGATGCAAATAGTTTGGCCTACAGAATGTCTGGGTACAAAAGGCAGCCAATGGCTAACTACTATTACAGCACCATGCAGCATTGGATCCGCAGGTTTTCAGAAGCTCGTGTAAAAGCAGATCCTGGTATCAAAGCACCTATTCCCAGAACATTTTACAGTTCAACTTCACAGGTCCTCAAGAAGTGTGAAGTTTACTTTGATAAACTCTGGGAAGAATATTCTAATGTTGAAAAAGAAGAATACCAAGGATCACAGCTTGGCGATACATGTTTGTCTACCATTGTTGAATGGGGTCATTCAATGAGTGAAGAGGAATATGAAAATTCCACAGTGAGCACGAAGGAGTTCATCTGTAATTTTTCAGAGAACTTTGCTATGATTGACACGGAGGTTATGTGCTCAAGGCCCACTGACGAGGATAGTCATGGTCCAATGTTTATTTCACTCAGACCAGCTTCCCTTTCATCTGGAGACAGAAGACAGTACCGTATGGGAGCAACGCTTCATGAGGCGAACGTGCGGAGGAAGGAGAGACAGAAGCAGAATAGAAAGAAAGGAAGGCCGCCAACTTCTGATCAAGCAACTTCATCGTTTGCAGCGGCATAATTCCTGAGCGAAGGCTGAAATTTAAATGATGGCTAGGAAGTGAAGATACTTCTGGTTACAGTTGATACTTTGCTTCCAAGCTTGACTTTAAGTTGCCAGGCTGAAGTTTTAATGAATTCTGGTTTGCAACTAGGAGAAACTTTTTATCAAAGAAGATACTCCTGCATTCCAGGTTTATATGCTTTAGCATGTAGATAGGTATGGACAGTTTTACAGAACTGATGATATCTATCACCACCGCTCTGATGAAGTGACCTCTAATGGACAACCAGTCATGGTTGATGATTAAGTCATTTCATGATTTGCAATTGTAGTGCAAGATTTTTTTTGTACATACATTTGCCGGTATCTCCTTCTTGTGTTTTTGATGTGAATGTGAAAGAGAGTCCTTTTGATGCAGTTTATTTTGTCTGTGAATGAAAGCGGTCGAGACCACGTCACGAGAAGATTATTCCTCGGACCGTACGCTCCTTGCATTTTGCAAGGCATCTTAATTCATTGCAATTTGTGCGGTCTTGAATTTTTAGTTCTGTGTTACGCGAGTGTCGTTTGATTCTTTTATAGGTCTCTGTAGAGAAAAAGCCGCTTTCCCTTTTTAGTTTGATTTAGCTCAGGCCCTAAAGAGCTAGTGAGCGCCGGTACATGGTATCTCCGCCTGCGAAAAGTACAGTCTCCAGCCGAGGTACATTATCGCTTTGATTTTGTACTTGAGGTGAGTCAGCTATTGCTCCCTCACTGTATTTAGTAGCTATGAGATTACCTTCTCTGAAGTGTGAAACACACTGGATTAGGTAAGTACATGGCACCGTAGTTTTCTTTTAAGTTGTCAGAGCTAGCTGGACTGTTTTAGCCTTGCAGTAGAAAAAGAGTATGCGACATACGCAATCAGCTAGAAGTGGACATGAATCTTGTGCCTGCTGAAAAGTAGAGCCTACCTGTACAGGGTTCCACTCCAACAGCTGATATAGTGTGTCCATGCTTGACTGCTTCAAGGCTCAAAGAGCAAGAGGATAAGACTCTGCGCATAAAAGACACTAGCGGTCTGCACCTCTACCGTGTACGCCCTAGTCACTCTTTCACCCCCAACCCCACCCGCGCCACGAAATCTGCACTTCCTCTCCAAAACCCGCGCCTGCCACGAAATCAACATTTTAGTGTGAACTCCCTGCCGCAAAAAAACTCTGCTAACCAACCAACCAACAGCCACCTGCCAGCGGCGCCAGCAGCAACCAACCAACTGACCACAACGTAGCATCCCTTTTGTGGGCCATCCGAGGGTAAAATTTAGAATAGGAAGAAGCCTATTGCAACGTGGCATGCCTTTTGTGGGCCACAGATACAGTTTAGAGTAGGAAAAAGCCATTGCAACGTAGCATTCCTTTCGTGAGAAAAATTTAGAAAAGGAAGAAGCCATTGCAACGTAGCGTGCCTTTTGTGGGCCACCCGAGGGTAAAATTTAGAGCAGGAAGGAGCCATTACAACGAAGCATTTCTTTTTGCGAGCCACCCGATGGTAAATTTTAGAGTAGGAAGGAGCCATTACAACGATTTACAACGTAGCAGTCCTTTGATGGGCCATTCGAAAGTAAAATTTAGAAAAGGATAGAAAAGGAAGAAGCCATTGCAACGTAGCATGCCTTTTGTGGGCCACCCGAGGGTAAAATTTACAGCCGGAAGGAGCCATTATATATATTACAACGTAGCATGCCTGTTGTGGGCCATTCGAAGGTGAAATTTAGAATAGGAAGGAGCCATTACAACGCAGCATTAGTTCGAATTCGACTTCGAATCGACGATAATTTTTACACCCCGGGGGGGAACCAGTTCGAGTTCGAGTTCGAATTCCAATCGACGACAATTTTGACGCCCGGAGGGGGGGAAACGCAGTTCGAGTTCGAGATCGAATTTCGAATCGACGGCAATTTTGACACCGGGGGGGGGACCAGTTCGAGTTCGAGTTCGAATTCGAATCGACGACAGCGATTTTGGAGTTCGACTCTTTCTATTCGTCCACTGGGTTGACTTCTATAACAGTTCCAGTTCGAGATCGAGTTCGAGTTCGGTTCCTTCCATATAATATCCTTTCAAGGTTAAGTTCATCAATACTGTATAATGTTTCAGTTCGCGTTCGGGTTCGAGTTCGAGTTCGAGCGGGGCACACTATATATGTTTTCGACGACAGATACGCACTTTGGTCCACCTTCGTTTTCGGCGACAGTTACGCACATTGGAACCAAATTGCGTGACCACCTCACTTTTGAGCGCTTGACACGTACGATCTCCGCGCAGGGGTTCCCTGCAAGGACAACAGAATTCGAAAGTCGCCTCACGTTCGCGCACTCTACACGCACGATCTCCGCAGAGGGTTCCCCACGGCACACGGCGACTCGCATTACCGCAGTTTCGCGCATCTGACATGCGCGATCTCCGCAGAAGGTTGTGTTTCGTGAGCATCGGCCACCCCCCCGCCTTAAGAGTCATTGTAAAGATTTCGATGTTCTAGTTGTGTAGATGAATTTTAGGTGTCTTCACCTATAGATCTTAACACCTGTATCTCAACACCTATGGCCCAATACCTGTATGAAAACACCTGTAATCTCTGTAGATGTGATTTACGAGGTGTTGCCCCTGCATCATCTATGCACTTGGTGATGATGACCTAATCATATCAATCACCTGCATCTGTGCAACTTCACTTCAACATGACGATGACGGTGATGACGGTCAGTCATGATGATGATGGTGGTGATGATGATGATGATGATAACAATAACAGTGATGTCAATGAACATGACGTGCTGATGCTGCTGCTGTTGATGATGATGCTGATGACAATGACACTGCAAGTGATGATGGTGATGATGATGAATCATTAAGCAAATGATGCAAATGATGGTTAGACAGTTGAAGTTCGTAGTCGTTCTTGAAGGAGAACCCTTTCGCAGGTGCTTTCGGGAAAAAAGCAAACCACGCTTTTCAACCAAAGGGCAGCCTTTCGGCATGTGTTTTTTAACAAAAACATGAAACAATCCGTGCTTCCACGCATCCCCAGCACATCAAACAAGCATCCCCAATGTTTGCTCTCTACACCTTTGGGGCTCTCTGCTTCGGTCTCGCATCAAAGGTACTGTGTATTGATCAACAAGTCCACGACCTTCGATGCTCGAAGCTCTTCAAGCATTCGGTTTCGATCTCTCACGCCATTGACCTCCAAGATGACTTGGCCATTCTCCTGTACTGCACATGGTTTTGCCGTAGTGTGGATCTAGGATCCAAAGGGATCCATTATTGATTGAGCAAATTGAGCGGATGTGGCACTATGACTCTATGACTATGACCACCAAATTTCATTCATGATTGATTGGGAGCTCATTCTAAAAGCCAGTCGTCAGCTTCATCTTCAATCTTCAATCAAAGTCCCACCTATACTCTCCTGGATTCCATCTCTCATCGCCCAAATTGAGCTGACCTAAAACCTTGTGCCATATTCCGTTGCATGCGTCAGTAATTAATTAGTTACGTGGCCCTTACGTGCCTCAGATTCCAGCTTACGCGGCAGCATGCAGCAGCTGGAAAACAACAACAGCCCACGCAAAAAGCTTATGCGAACAAACTTTGCAGGAATGTCCACCGTGACAGCTTACCTGAGGCCTCTTTCCTTGCAGCATGGACAGATTCAATACGATGTGGACAAAGCAAACAATGAGGCGCATAACTGAAAACCGCAAGCCATGTTGTTGCGGCCCCATGCTCTGGGCACAAGTAGTTGTTGAACTGAGCGGAAATGTGTGTTCCGTGCTCAGCAACGAGGTCAATGCACATGTGCGCCACTTGCGCATCCCTGCTACACATGAGCTTATGCCTCTGGCGCCCGCTTGCAGTAAGCGCAAAATCATGGTTCATCTAGGAAGGGCAGGTGCAAAAGGAAACAGCGGCTGTTCAAACTGTTCGAATGCCTCAGCAACCTGCTCATCCTGAAACCAAAGGGGTTCACCTGAACCAAAAGTCGAGCCCAAGGCAGGGTGCAAAAGCAAGACTCGGCCAAGAACATGGACACTGGACAACCGGTGCTCCAAAAACGCCTACTCAATCTTACGCAACCTTGCTGATTTTAGAGTTGCTCAATTGAGGCTATGGTGTTTCAATCCGACAGTCAATCAAAACAAGATTGTCATCGTTTGTACTGAACAAGGTGTTGTACTGATGGAGGTGAGACCACTGGGGTAAATTGTTCATCGAGCAAGCTGCGATGGGAGAATGCGGATGCTCGACGTTCCACTGCTTCACTGCGGTTGATTTCTGGACATCAACGATGAGGAGCTCGTCAATGGTCTCATGTCCTGGCACTAAAAGAGACCACACACAACTAAAAGTTAACATGGAAGCTGAAGGAAGATTTAAAAACAAAAACAAGTCAAGTGTGAAGAAAGCTCACTTTACGGCCAATTGCATCATCAGGTTTTGTGTGAGCAGTTCGTACATGTGCGACATCGCACCACTGTGCGTGGTGATATGTGCACTTTTGGAACTTACATTCCCGTTGCTACCGGGAAGAGAGGTTAAGCAGAATCAATCTCCACTCGCTGCTGCGTTGGAGATAGTATAGGTTTAAATATGTTTAAATATATATATATATATTTATATGTGTGTGAAAACATGGAATCTTCTCCGCACCTGAGCTCTGCTCTTATAAATGGAGGAGGGGGCTGGGCATAAGCTACAGCTTGGTGGTTTCTGGTTTGATTATGTAAAACAAGGGCAGCCCTGTACTTGTAGCCGGTGAGCTTCAAAAATCTGTGCGCATACAAGATCGGAGTCCTTTTTTGAGCAATGGCAACATGTTTGCCTTAGGATGTTTATCACCCTCTTTAATGGTGAGGTTTCCAGAAGCTTGTAGGACTATTTATCAAGAAATCAAGAGGCATTTCAGAGCTACTTCATCATGTCCAATGATCTTCCAGAACTATTTCAGTTCTATCCTTAGAGCTATTTGGTTTTGTATTAGAGCTATTTAAGTGTTGTGCTAGAGCTATTTGGTTTTGTACTAGAGCTATTTGGTTTTGTACTAGAGCTATTTTAAAATAGCTTAGAACAACCTACAAATAGTCAATGGTTTCTATCAAATCTTCTAGAATATTAGCATGTTAGTGACAACCCTGACAGATCTTGGAGTTCCTTCCAAACTTGCACGGGCTGTCTGAACTAGCACAGCATCTTATAGATTTATAGAGTGTTAACTTCACGGCTTTAGGCGTAAAGCTCTGCAACATGCAAGTTGACAAAATTCAGTATCCTGGTAATCACCTGGGGGATGGGCAAACAAACTAGTGATGGAATTGGGTCCTTGCTGGATGTCTTCTAATAATACTGCCTTACAGAATCTGAAAAACTATGCCAGGCCCTGCTGCAAACTTGAAAAGTCATTTTTCTTTGCTATGCGAGCTTTGTGTCGTGACTCTCTCGGCCAAAGCTTAAGGCCAAGTCCTGAGTCCCCCATCTATCGCATCTATTGCCACACACCACTCACCAACAAACAAGCAAACAGCAAACAAAAAGATAACATACATCACATGTCATAGAAACATAACATAACTACTATAACTTCACATACAGTCAGCCCCCTACAGTCTACAGTCAGTAACACATAAACTTGATGCAAACTAGCACCAGTCCCTGTTTTATTCAACATGAACACTTGAACGCAGTGTGTGTGTGTGTGCCCCACCATCAAAACATCAGGCTGATGCTGATCATCTGATTTGCTAAGGCAAGCCCAGTTCTGTGCAATGCCCTGCACCAAAACATCTAGCCCATCATTGCGTTCAAAAAGGCTCAGCATCGCGCCAAGCTCGTAGTCACTTCCCGGCCTTGCGCTTTCTGCCATTGCCATTGCCTGGAGCCACCTTTGGAGCCTTGGAGGCCTTCTCTGAGTCACCCTGCTTCTGTTGGTTGCCACGCTTACGGATAACCTTGGGCTGACCATCGGCATTGGTGACCATGCGGTTGCGAAGCTCTGTTGGTAGGTCCTGCTTGGACATGCCAAGTGTGGCAATGAACTCAAGGATCTTGTTCAGGCTGCTTGCTCCTGCTTCCTTGGCCTTGTAGTCGTCTGGCTTGTTCACAAAGTCCACGCACACCATCACTGCAAGGACATGTGCACATGAGGAGCGGAACTCCTGCAAAGGGCTTTCAGCAATCACATTTGCGTTTGAAAAGAACATTCCAAGAGTGGAATCAAGAGTCTTGAGTCAAGAGTGACAAGTCATAGAGAGCCAGTTGTGGCATGTCAAATTAATGAACATTTGACATTTGTTTACAAGGTGTTGGAATCAAAGGAGGCGGTCACAACTGTGACACAACAGAAGTTCAACACTGACCACCATCTTGGCAGAACCTACCTATAACATGGAGTGCAAAAAAATTCAGGAGTGGGAGTCTTTGTTTGTGGAGGGGCAAAACGATGTGACTAGGTCGAGGTTGTCAACCCAGAATTGCAAGATCTCCAACACTATGTTGTTTTTTATTCTGCTGAAAGCAGACCCTACCACTGGCCTCAACAGTCTTCAAGAGCTCTTTCAGTTGAGAGAGCTCCCCAGTAGTAGCACCGTACTTGATGGTGATCAATGACCTGATGCAGCCAACCTGCTGCCCCAAGACATCTCGGTATTCTTGAAGTTGATCTGAGTCCTTCTCGGTCTTCTGTGATGTCGTCTCATCATGAGGCGTGAAAATCCATTCCACACCATCAAAATCCCAGCTCTCAGCAGCAGCCACCACTGGCCTGCAAAACAGACCAAAATTCTGACTTTGAACCTTGACAGAATTCACTTCAACGAATTGAATCAGGTGGGAATTGATGGCATTGAAGCATTGGGCCATTGCCCATGAACATTGAATATTTAGAAGTCTGAGTCTGATCCAGTTCTCAATGCTAAAGTGAAAATGGTGGCGACAAAAACCAATCAAGCAGACAAACAAACAAACACAAACAAGTAACAAACAGAACACAAACAAACGAGTCGAGTCATGGTCTTAGTCGTAGTCAGTCAAATTTGCAGGATCCAATCAAATCCTTTAAAAAAGTGTGCAACGGCAAAACTGAATCCTAGTGAGTGTCAAGTGCAAAACTGCTGCCTGTATGGATCCAAGAGTGCAAGGGCTCCTGGGAGGTCTTTCTCAAGGGAGGTCAGCCACATCTTGACTGCTTCCTTGAATGTGTCAATGAACTTCACGGCAATGTCGTGCTTCTCTGGAAAGATCTCCTTGAGGAATGACATGTTCAGCTCACCCAAGGAAGTGAACTGAGACAAGAATGGGAGGATCTTTGGACCATCGACCTCCAAGTCTTCTGCGTTGTCATCGCCCTGCAAGGGCTTGCAGTCGAAGGATTTCTCTGTGATGTCGTTCCCCTTGGACACTGTGACCAACAGCGTCTGCAAATTCTTGGGAAATGGCTCACTGCTGAAGTCCTTGTTCAGGCTGTCAACAACTTCCTGGAAATTGTCAGAATGCTGCACGAGGTGCTTAATGTGGATGCGAGCTGCATGGCCAATGAATGCCTTCAATCGCTTCACAGCCTCTCCAATGCTGGAGATGGCTCCAATGCCCTGGCCCTGGCCTGATGGAAGAGAGTCGGTGACGCTGAACAATTTCTGCCACAGCTTGAAGCCATCAACAACTGAAGGACTTTCAGCGACAGTGGCAGAAAATGCCAAAAGCTCCTGTGCAACATCTGCCGCAGCCAAACACTGAGCCCGCTCTGTTGAAGGCAATTCTGGCTTGGTGTAGCACACAGCGTAGCCTTCCAGCGGCTGCAGAGGAATGTGGGAAAGGGCTGGAGAGGGTGCAAAGTTACAGTCAAAATTCTACTATGAAGTCCACTGAAAACCGTTTGAAACAGTGCGTTGGTAGGTAACTAGGCAAATTAATCTGGTCAGTCAAAGCCCAAAGCTGAAGAAATGTGCAATTTGCAACCCCAGAAATCCCCAGTGCCAGTGACAGAGAAGATTCAGAAGAATCAGAATAATAGGGAATCAGTAGCAGTAGTTGTGTTTAATGTTCGTTCATAGAGGTTGGCTGCCCACCAGTAACACCCTTTTCCAACCCTGACACGCTCTAAAACTCCAAGTGTTGGACAATGAAACCCTGCTTGCCTGTCCACTTGCACTCTGAAAAAAACATGCATGTCACACGCGACCTATGCCGATGTCTGTCAGCAGGTTCCCTCGCCTGCATAGCACACTGGAACGAGAATCCCTCGCAGAACATCTGTCTTGTCAGTGAGGTTGAAGTTGGCGTCCACCATGTTTCCCTCATTGTCTCTTGAAGGTTGCCACTGCTTGGCCATGAACTCCACAAAGGTCTGGAAGCTGCCTTCATATCCAGGCACTTGCTCATGAAAAACCCTCGCTGCAGTGGAGAGGCCCTCCTTGAGGGAGGTGTCATTGGTATCACTTGACTCTTCCAGGAGTTGCTGGCAGTCTGGGAGAGCAGCAAGAGCTTTGAATTTTGCGGCAACTGCTGTGCTCATGGGCTCCAGCTTGCTCATGGTCTTGGTGACCTCCTTCAGGGTGCTGACGAGATTGAGACACTTTTGCTTGGCTTGCTTCAAATCCAGAACGCTCTTGGACACGTCCACTGCCCTTTGCCAAAGGTCCCTTGCAGGGCATTGTCTTGACAGAATGGTTCAGAATGGTTACATGGGATGGTTGCCCTTGACACTAGACGAAGAAAGCAAGTCAAGAGTGAAAGTCAAGAGTCAGAGTCAAGTTGCAATTGCCACTTCTGATTCAAATGATTCAAGCAGGCAACAGGGTAACATGGTTGGCTGGACAGTCGCATTGGGAAGTAATTGAAAGAACTGAAAAAAACAACAGCTAAAAGATCAAATGGTTAA